GAACAGGTGACAACAAGAGTATTTTGGTTTATAACAAGCGCAATAGAAACACTAGAGCAATAGGTGCTGAGAAGCACTACGGCACACTGTGTGTTAGAGAGGGTGGTCTTGATGCTGACATCCCATAGAGCATCTCAGCCTAATGACCTCAAAGGATGGGAAGAGGGCTGATTCCAGATGAGATGACTGGGTATAGAGTTAGGCCATTTGCCCAAGGTTGCACTGCTTAGGTATCACACTAAAGACAGTGAAGGGCGGGTCTGTCTCTCAGAGCATCCTCTGGATCCCAGAGAGCTGCAGAGCCAACGGGGCAGGCTGTATCAAGTCCCAAGATAGGACTTAGCGAACTGTGTTCATACTGACTCTTATTAGACAACTAGTCGCCATATTTGGTTTTCCTGAGGTCTGATAAACACTATTTTTAACTTACAAGTTTTCGCTGCCTCTTAAATAATTCTTACAGGGCCCATGTTTGAGGTATGGATTTTGTTTTGTTTTTCAGTTTTATTTAGAAAAGGAACTTCACTGCTAGATATTGTTATATGATCTTGGAGTGATTGCCCATTGATTCCCTTTTAACTATTTTGTGTATTCTCACTGTGAAAATACTGACAAGAAACAACTCTTTAAAAATTGCTTTGACTAGAGGGCATCCCAGAGCCCCACGCAAGAAGACAGAACAGCATTTGTGGGCCTAAAAAAGTCCAGAAGCAGAATAACTCCATCGTCTAAGCGGAGGCTACTTCTTCAGGCCCCAAATCATCTGGAAAGGCGTACGTTCAGATGTTCACATGTGCACAGCGGGAAGGGAATAAAAGACAGGCTATCTCTGCAGCGTGTCGCCTGCTGGGGAAATTCCTGCTTCCTGAGAACCTGTCTCCAACCTCAGACCTGAAATGCTTAGAATATGGGTTGGGTGTTGGCCCTGTGAACCTGCCAGCCGAGCCTGGCGATTCGACGCCCGTGTGTGGCTCTTCTGTTAAGCAAGTGTATTTCTTCTTCTCAGATCTCCAGAAGGATAACTCCCAGAGTCTTCCTACTAGTCACGCACTTTAACAGCAGTTTCTGTGGTTTTTGAGCTGCTGAGATCCTTAGAGAGCTCACGGAGAGCCCTGCCTCTCAAAACATCCAGACCTCCTGGTCCACGCATGAGGTCTCATGACCTCACTGTCCTCCTCTAACAACAGTAACAGTGCTGACTGGACTGCAGACAAAAGGCCCTGATGCCAGCCCTGAACATGAATACATGCGCTTCTCACTGGAGTCTCAATGACACTGTGCATTCAGATGGCTGCTCAGAAAACTGCAGCAAGGATAGTGACAGCTAGGACGCTTCACCGCGCCTGGTGACTCACTCAGAGAAACACCCTGTGTGAGCTGTGATGTGCTTGTCCTTGACCTGGAAACACAAGTCTCCAACACAATCCAAGTGAGCGGTTTGATGCTCTTATTTCCAGAGATTGCCCACAAAGCAGATTACGAAGGGATCTGGGGACTTCTAACTATAGGAGGGTTGAATGACTCCCTCCAGCTACCGCCCTTAAATACATTTTTGAAGTTGACCACATCTCACTTCACACATATGTATTACACTGACAACGGGGGGGGGGGCGGTATCACAAAGGCTTTTATGAAATGACGTTCATGGGGTTGTGAGGCCCTCGGATGTTTTTCCAGTCAATCTTATTCTTTTATTGAAAGCAATGGTCAAAACAAGGAAGACTAGAACTGTGTCTTTTGCTGCATTGTGGAGGGAGCTGGAGGATGTTGCAGTCTGTCCGGCATAGGAGAAAGTGCCATGAGGTTCACTTGTAGGTGGGGCCTAAAACACCCATCTCAAAGACACATAGAACATCGAGGTAGCAGCCAGGGCAGAGAGGGAACGCCAGGGAAGGACAGATCACAGCACGGTAGTGGAAGGTACAGTCACCTCCGATGCCCCTAACACAGAACAGAACAACTGCCAACAACAGTGAACTGAACATTTCAAAATATTTCGTAGAGAGGATTTTGAATGCTTTTTTTTTGGCAGAAAGACATAAGTATTTAAAGTAAGATGATGTGATCCATAAATATGTAAACTACCATCTGTCATTTAAAAATAAAATAGGTAAGAAAGAAGAAAAAAAACTCAAATAAACCAAAAACACACACCAATCAAACAAACAAAGAGAGAACAGTTTGTATGAGTAGCGGAGAAACTGGAGCCCTTAAATTGTACATCACTGGCGAGAATGTAAAATAGTCTGACCTCTCTAAAAAAATTATCATTTCTCAAAATCTTATAAAGGGTTTATTGAATAACCCAGAGGTTGCATTCCTAGGTATATATCCAAAAGAAATGAAAACTATACATCTCTGTAAAAACTTGGAATACAAACGTTAACACAGGCACTATAAAGTAGCTTAACTCAATGTCCAATCACGGAGGAATGACCATGGTGTGCGAGATAACTGTGTAGTGGGATCCTCTTCACCAAGAATAGGCGGAAGTTCTGATCCACGCTAAAACCTGGATATACCCTGAAGACACTAAGCTAAGTGAAGGAAGCTAGACACAAATAATCACATTGTTCACTATTACATTCAATGTGACACTGTCCACAATACGCTACTGCATCCCAGATTTCCTCAGGATGTTTGTCATAAAAGACAAATCCAAACACTGAAGAGTGGCTACCTAGGGCTAGCATAGAGTCAGAATTGCAGGAGAAGCGTGTATGAAGTTTCTTTGGGGAATGATGAAAATGTTCTAAAATCAGAATGTAATGGTTGCAAAACTCTGAATCCATACACAGAGAAACGAAAAGTTAAATCTTAATAAAATAGTTTTTAAAGGATGATGTCAGCCCGTAAATTGATTTTACCAGGCCAGGGTGAACTCAATTTCCCTGACCTGGACAGGCCGTCCACTCACTCCCTGTACTCCTGCTCTTCCCTCCTCCTGAGTCTCCGCCTGCCCTGCAGTGAGAATGAACAGTCTGTGGATGGGCCGATGGACAGACGGGTGTGCGTGTGTGTGTGTGTGTGCGTGTGTGTGTGAGGCCAGACCAAAGCCCCCTGAGATATAATTCCTACCGTCTCTGTGCATCTGCAGCGACCCATGCCTGTCAGAGAGACCCATTTCTCAGCTTTTCCTAATAACAAGACCAGAAAATTCTTTGATGAGATTTCTGGAAGAGATTTTTTTTTTCATTTAAAAAAATTATATGTATTTACTTGTTTTGTGGTGAGGAAGGAAAACATGTGGAAGTCAAAGGACATCCCACCAGCGTTGCTCCTCTACCTCCGTCACGTGGTTTACAAGGCTCAGACTCAGGGCTTCAGACCTGGGGACAGGCTTTGACCTGCTGAACAGTCTTATTGCCCCTCAAGTTTTAACTTGGCTTATTTAGAGAGAGCAAGGATGCACATATGGAAGTTAGAGCCAGTGCTCTCCTCTGCCATGTGGGTCTCAGGGACTGAACTCAGGGTGTCAGACTAGGCAGTAAGCACTTTTGCCCACTGAACTATCTCAGCGGTCCATTATCCCCAACATTTTTATTGTGCTAAAACACATAAAGTCTACAATTACCACCTCACCCACTTTTAAGCTTACAGTGTAAGGATATTAAATACATTAATAGTGTGTGGCATCCATTTCTAGGATTCTTTACATCTTCTAGAAGTGAAGCTCTGGTCTTTAAATGGCAGCTACCTTTGCTCCCTGCCCTTTGCCCTTAAGTCACTGCCCTGCTTTCAGCCCCCGTGATTCTGGCGCTATGACTAAGAACTTCAAATAAACACAATCAAACAGCGTTTGTCTTTTATGACTGGCTTATTGCACTCAGCACAATGTCCCCAAAGTTCATCCATGTGGTACCAGGCATAAAAACTGTCCTTTAAAAGCTCAGAAGTGTTCTGTGGGATGTAAACACTATTTTCCATCCATTCACCCGACACTGGAGACACTTCTGCATTCTGGCTCTTGTAAATAACGTCATTCTAAACATCACTTCAGGACCTGGCTTTTAATGCTGTGTGTAAATACCAGAAGTAAAGTTTTGGGGCACTCGGTAATTCTACTGTTAATCAGCTGAGAAACGGCAGCTCTGTATTTCACAGTAGCTGGACCATCCATTGCCCATTTCCACCACAAGTCTGTTAACTGTGGCTGTCAACTTGGGGAGATTTAGAACCACTTAGGAGACAAACCTCTGGGCATATCTATGAGGTTTTTTTTGCAAAGAGGTTTAACTGTGGGGGGCATCTTGAATGTGGGCAGTACCATTTTACACACTGGAGTTACACAGTTAAGGAGGAAATGAGCTGAGCACAGCGTCCATCCTGTCCCACTGGGCTTCCTGACTGCAGACGTACTGTGCCCGGCCACCCCACACTCTGGGTACCACACCTTCCCACCTGATGGATCCTGTGCCAAACTAAAGCCTTCTTTTTTTAAGTTGCCCTTGTCAGACATTTGGTTACGGCATTGAGAGAAGTCACAAATACACCCCAAGCGTGCCAGGGTCCCCAGCTTTCCACGTCCTCCCTCACATTTGCTGTTTTGTTGCCCTGTTTGGTTTTGAATAGCATCTCTAACAATAGGTCTGCCTGAGATCTGAGGGAGCAAAGAAGCAGACCCTTTTCTGCTTTTCGAGAATTGATGATACCTTAATGCCCAGAAGCCATCTTAGACCCTACAGTTCAATCAATGCCAAAGCTGATCAAGCCAAGGATAGGAGGTGACCAAGTCCCTGATTTTCCTAAAAACGATCTGGTTATCTACCTCTAGACTCCTGGTCACACAGCAGAACAAATGCAACCAAGCTGAATGACAGCAGTCTGCAGCTAAGGGCATTTCTGAGTGGCACATGAACCACAACTCCCCTTGCTGCAGACAGTCAGAGACTACTAGACCATTCCAGAACCTACAGCTCTTCCCACATCCAGGCCATCCTCCCTGGCCTTCCAGCAGCCTTCTGAGTCCCATGCCCAAAGGGAAGCGAGCAGCCACACACCTGGTGATCTTGAAGATCCTGAGCAGGCGCACGCATCTCAGCACAGAGATGCCCAGGGGAGACATGATCTTGGTCTCCACCAGGATGGTCTCCAGGATACCCCCACACACGATGAAGCAGTCGAAGCGGTTGAAGAGGGACACAAAGTAGGCCTGCAGCCCTAGGCTGTACATCTTCAGGAGCATTTCCGCAGTGAAGAGCGCCAGGAGGGCCTTGTTGGCTGTGTCTGGCGGTGTAGGTCAGGGGTGGGATTCAAGCAAGGAGCCGAGAGGAGCAAAGAGGAAGAGGAGGGAAAACATAAAACAGTTACTGTCAAAGCTGGAGAAAAAGGCCTACTCCCCATCCCTCCTTTCCCTCCCTTCCCAGGAGACCTCTCCCAGATACTTCTGAAAGAACAATTAGGTCCAGTTTCCATCATTATAACCATGCACCGAGCATCCACTACGCATTAGAGGCTTAGCATATGTTGTTCTCCTTAATCCCCAGAGAAACTCAAGAGGCGCGGTGCTGTTTCTATTAAACCTAATCTTTAGAGAGGAAACAGGAGGTGCAGAAGGGTCAGTGACCTGTCCGAGTCAGTAGCCAAAGCTGAGAGTAGGCTGCCTTTTCTGTCCCTGTTACCTCTAGATCATCTCTTCCCAGGATCCCCATAGCCTGAGCCGTAACTGCCTCACTTCCCAGAGACACTTAGGCATGGGTTATGGATTTCTTCACAGGGGTCCAGGCATGACAAGGGGTAGACCTCTGGGGCCACTGTCCCTTGTCCAGGCTCTGCTTCTTGTTATGGTCTGGGGAAAGCTACCTGGAGCTACAGTAAGGCCAGAGGAACTGAAAATGGCTCCTGGGAAGCTGGCAGCCGAGGGTCTGAAACAGTCAGATAAGCTGTCCCGTTACTGGGACTCAGTGATGACCATGGTTGCAGGGGAGGGCGAGAGGCACATCAGGACTTGAAGCTACATCTGTTTATAACAAGGGCCTGAATTTTAATATGGAGCTTGCAAACTTCCAGGCCCTTGGACTTTCCAGCATGGCACCAGTCAAGCCGTAGTCACCGGCTGCTTGTCTGTCAACCTCCCATCAATAACTCATCCCTCCTCAGGACCCGGAGCTCGGCTGGCAAGCATGAACAGTACAAAGCCAGGGGCTACCCACCTTGCACTTCCGTGAGCCAGTGGGGCTGGTTGTAGTGCTCGGAGGCAATGGTGAGCGTGTTGAGGAAGACCAGAAAGATCACGAGCCAGTAGAAGACGTTGGACTTAACTGCCGCGCGGCACTTCCTTCTGCAGAATCTGTTCCACCTGCGCCAGTAGCGGCTGCAAAAGGGCAAGGAGGGAAAGACGGGGTTGGTTGGGAGATCCAGACTTCCTGCCAACCCAAAGCACACGAGGTGCCATCTCACCTGTCCCTGGCTTGGCATTACTACACAACCTGGTGGTGGAGTGGTCTAAGTGGGCTCCACGGTTTAGCTATCTATGTGGCCTTGGGTCTATGTATCCTCCATCTCTAAGCTTCAGTTAGAAACAAGAACAGGGACAATTTCACAGGATTCTTGTAAACATGCATAAAATGCCATATAAGCCATCTGACATGAAGTTGAAGTTGCCCAACAAGTGGGACTGCTTTTTATTTTCTCGGCTGGGGATATACCTCAGTGGTAAAGCCAAGCACGCACAAGCCTTGGTTGCAATCTCGGGTACTGGAAGATAAAGGAGTTTCCAGCTATTTTTAATTTATTTTAATGGCATTATCAGAAATAGTGTGGCAAGTATGGGGGAATTAGTCACCATGCTGGTGGCAATGGCTAAAGCCTTCTGTGGGCTTGGTATTTTAGGAACGTCGTAGGGCTTCTCCAAAAGCCTTTAAGTCAAGCTTGTGTTATCCTGATACTGAGGAGGAATCTAAGGGCCACTGAGGTTCATTGTCCAGCACACTGGAGCAGATAGAGCTGAGGCAGGGTGATGCTCTGCCAGCCCCGCCCCTCCCGCTGGACCCATACTCCTCACCGTACAGAGGAAGAGGCTGATTTACACCAGGGGTCCTTTACACTCACAGGGTCCTAGGATATCTTTTGAGAACTCAATGAACGTTTAGATTTTCTCTTTAGAAAAATGGACACACCCCCTGCCCGAGCATACACAGAACCCCGAAGCTCAGCTAGACTCACATAGCCTTCCCCAGCGCTCCTGATCAAGGACTCTGTCAGTGCTTATCAGGTATGGCTATGTGCAGAATGGCGTGGGAAACTTCCAACAACCATCCAGCCACCCCTTCCCCTGGTACCTCACCTCAGCAGCTAAGCAATCTGATTGAAAACTCATTGATTAGGTGCTGAGTACATTCAAACACCCCAAAGATAGCCCTGGCCCTTTTGATCCTCCCCCAGCTGGTTCTAACGTATAATCATGGTTGAGAGCCATTAAGCTGGGGCTCCCAAAGAGACATCCCCATTTTATGACTCTGCGATACAGGGTTTCCCTTGCACAACACACAGCACTGTTGGGGACTCAGGATGATGTGTTTAAGAGCTGCCTGGAATGCAATGGAGAAGCCTGAAGAGTAAGACCACAGACGGCCAGGCCAAGACCCACCATAGGAAGGCCCACACGACCAGATTTTACTTCAGAAAACCAGACATCAACCAATACAAACACCTGGTGAGCTTCTAGATCAAGGTGGAACCCAGGGGACAGCTCCAGCTGTCTGGATTAGTGATGATGTAAGGAAAACGTTATTCGTGTCACAAAGGACAGCGAGGACACAGCAGACTGGAAGCAGAGGCAACAGGAGACTGGAATTCAAGAGGAGAGAAACATACTCAGAGGGGCACCAACATGCCTACCTGGTGTTCCAGGGGTGTGACACCCCCAACCAACCAAAAGCCAGACAGGAGTACTCTGGGAAGGGAGGATGCTGGAAGAAGGGCAATGGTGCAGGGTGGTGGTGGGCAGGTATGCAGAAAGATGCCTAGGCACGCAGAGCCTCAGCTCAGGTGGTAAAAGAGGCAGGAGGAAGTGAGACAAGGACTCCCTGGTGCAGCCGTCGCAGGGACCTGCACTCTTACACGTGGTGACTTCCAGTCTAGGCCTCTAAGCAAGCATGCAGGACCTGCTTGCAGCAGATCTGCAAAACCCCATTCTGCAGCCCGGGAGTGACTGGAACACTATCTGCTAGGCCATGATTGACACTGAGAAAAGAGACAGACTGAAAATATCATAGCATGATTCAGGAGAAGTAGTAAGACACGCTTGAATGAAATCCTTAGTGTGTGTGTGTGTGTGTGTGTGTGTGTGTGTGTGTCCTGGGCCAGGATGCAAAAAAATCAGGCTTCTATTTTAGGGCAATGAAATTGGCCTGTAGTCCACATTCTGAGTAAGTCTGTGTCATTAGTCCATATCTGCAGTCTCTGGTGAGAGAAATCATAGAGAAAATGTAGTGGAGTTGTACTTGTATCAGGTGAAGAATCATGGCTGGTCCTCAGCATCACACAGCAATACGGGCAAGCATGCTACAAGTGGGACTGGCTGTATATATTACATACATTGTCCCACACTCAGCTCTCTATTCCTCAAGGGAGACCTTTTTCACCATCACCAGCTTCATGCCAAGGACAGACTGCATTCTGTGGTCCCGGGGAGACAGACCTCTATATGAATAGTTATGTCCAGTTGCCCACATTGCCTTTTTGGGCAGCTTGTCTTCATCTATGTCTCTAACACTGCCATTTTTGTCCCTGTTGTTCCTTGGAAAATCCTGTTCCCAAGGTTTAGCTGAATTCTCCAGTGAGGATGGAAGAACCAGGGCAATCTAAGAACTTGAATTTTTCCCTGAAAACTACCAAGGGGATCTATGGTTTGGTCTTCCTGCAAGCGGAAGGACAGATAGATCAGCCTCAGTGTTCTGGCACGATCTATCCTTAAACGGATGCCCCATCTTTGCAGGAGACACTCAGCTTATTGGGTGCTTTGGGGAATTCACTATGCACCATGCAAGCCAGACATTAATCTGTAAGTGCCCTTCAGGGTGCTTGAAACATCTATCCGTGCCACGTGCAAGTGTGGAGATGGGGGCTATGTGGAGAGGGACAAGGGACTGGGACAATGAGTCCCAGGTGGTTGCAATGAAAGACAGCCTTTTGTATTTGCCTGAACTTGCTATTGCATAGTCCTGTGTTATCAGAACACATCTCTACTTCTTCCTATGATCAATAATATTACAGGATAATTTAAAAAACCATATATTAATTGCGAAGATATGTTTTAAAATAGACCCAATCCCCTACTGCAGAGACCACTGATAGTTGCCATGCAGACTACAAAGGTGGCTTTTACAGTCGGTAGAAACTGACTGAGAATTTACCCCCGACCATCCCTCTCTCGTTTACAGTAGTGAACACGGGTTGTTGTAAAGTCAGGCCTCTCACATGGGTCTAGAACCGCTCTTGGCCAGCTCTGTTAGATGTGGGTGCTACTGCACAGAGCCGATTTGGAGAATCACATGGATTTGGGGTTGTGGTGGGGATGGGAGTAATTACTATCCAGGGAAAGTATTTAAAGATAATTGTACATCTCCTACTCTTCAAATGTAGCTTTGCTTGACAGCTGGTTTCCTGGCAACACTTCCTACTACATAATAGATGTAATAGTTTATTAGAATGTGTAAATTTATTTATGTGTTTGCATATGCACAGAGGATATTAAATGATAAAACAGGGAGGAGAAATTTGCCTGCTATTCATGTTCTCTTTGCAGTAGCTGGAAGCCATTTACTCTAGAAACACAGAAGCAGGGGAGAAGGATGGAAGTGAGTGTCTACTGTACTCAACTGTCTGCAGCACTGTGCTCGGCTCGCTCTCCCTCGCTCATCTTCTCTCCACCCCACCCCCAGCACAGGGCTTTGCACCCATTTTAGAAACACAAAATGCGCCTCCAACGATGAAGGCTTTCACCTTCTAGTCCCATCCTCTCGGTCCTGCTCATCTTTAGGGTTCAACTCAAACCCCAGCTTCCTGCAGTGGACTTTCTGTTCTTCTAGCCCCGGCATCCCCGCAGAACCTGTCTGTTTACACATTTTGTTTGTGTATTTACCATCACCTGCTATGGACAAGGTACCAACCACTAACAGACTCAGTCCTTCTCAGCGTAAACTCAGCCAGGGTACAGTAGGGTACATAAACATGACACATGCTGAGGAACTCTGCAATGCTGTCCCCAGATCACATCTTCTGCAGTCATGGAGGCACCCAGAGAGGTTTCTCCCAGTAGAGGCCTTCCATTGCCTGGTATAAGCAGTTAACTTTTAATGTATGGCCCCTGATTCTTTACTGAGATAATCAGATCCCCAAGAGGCAGGGGCCACTTCTTCTATTTTGTTACAGACCCATAGTATTGAGCACTGTCATCTCATACAGTAAGATGCTGGCTTCCAGGTTGTGTGAGACATGACACAGATGGATGCCCCAGGTCTAACTCCCAGATAAAGGCAAATCTTAAAAACCCCTGGCCTCGGGAAGGAGAAAGGACAATGCTCTCAAACTGGATTTCTCATCATGCAAATACTGACAAGACCGAGACTAGGAAACAGTGGACACAGCAGGCCGCCTGGTAGCTGGAGTTGGTTTCCATCTTCAGCAGAACTGGAAACAAACGGCAGAGAAAAACCGCTACATTTAATTCTTTCATGAGTAAGTAGCCTAAAAATGGGCTACAGAGACTGGGGCGGACTTGGGTTTATGCCTGGTTTCTCACGGCACAGCACAACTACAATGAGGTGGAAGGCAGTTCCTGCTGAAGACTAGGCCTGCAGAGTCCTCACATTGGAACTCCACGCGATTTGCTCCGAATTCTGCAGAGTTGTGCTAGGAAAGACTCCAACAGGCCTCTGGATCAATGATGCACAGTGAGTCTCAAATGTAGCCAATTCTTTATTTTCCTTTACTTGAAAACCTGAATTATCAAAAATCCAACTATCATCTAATTTGTCTCATTTTTTTTCCTGCAAGCTCTATTCAACCATTCTCTGAAAATTAACTATAACTTTGTATCATCCGGTCCTGCACCTAAAATAGGCCCATTTGAAGCTCAAATTCTATTACTGTCACTATTAAATTGTTTCCCCAACTGAGGGAACTATTTGGGAAATGTTGATAATTCTGGGAGCATTTTCAATCCATTACCAGCTTTAGCTGTTCTCTAACCCGACACCATCAGGATCTAGGTTAGCAAGCTGCTTGTAGTATTGCTCAATATTCCTAGAATACCCTTGACTGGGGTGATAGCCCCTAGCAACATATGACCAACCCGAACTAAGATATACATAGTAAATGTTTGTTTGTTTTTCCTTTTTCTTTTTTTTCGAGACAGGGTTTCTCTGTAGCTTTGGAGCCTGTCCTGGAACTTGCTCTTGTAGACCAGGCTGGACTTGAACTCACAGAGATCCACCTGCCTCTGCCTCCCGAGTGCTGAGATTAAAGGTTTTCACCATCACTGCCCAGCTACACATAGTAAATGTAAAGTACACGCTAAGTTGCAAAAAGTCTTGGTGCAACAAAGAACAGAAACCATTTCACTAAAACATGTTATGTTAATTCCTGTTGAAATGACAATGTTTTCATTGCAGTGCTTCAAATAAAAATGTTTCCCTTCCTGCTGCTCCACTGTACTGCTTGACATGGCCACTAGAATAATTTTCAAAGTATGCACAGAAACAGGTTCCGGACACCAGCCAGGACTCGACCTGCAGGATGGCTGAGACCATCTCCAGCTGTGACTCTGGGCTCCTTTCTGCCTCAGGGATCATCTACAGGTGTTTGTTAGTGACAGTGCCAACCCACTGACAAGAAGCCATTTGTGAATACATGGTCATTTCTGCACTTTCCTTAAACTGGAAGTACATAGAGAGAAGCACCCACTCCTGAAAGTAAACGATTAGAGCCCTGTGCCTGGGAGATGTAGAGGGGACCAAGTCCCAAGGATCAAAAGATTGTAACTTCCAAGGACATACCGAACACTATAGATTGCCCAATTCAAACTCCTGATAATGCAAGAGTGTCCATCACGCATGGAATCTTCTGCACAAGTCTCCAGATTGTGTTTATCCATTCATTAATCTATGATTTCCTCATTTGCATGTAGCGAGAATGGAATTTGGGAAATATTTTCACTGTAAAATTTAATCTCTTTACTATTACTGTGTGGGGGCCGTGGAACTGTTCAGAGTAACATGTACTTGTCAAATATGACATTTGTTTGAACGTCTGTCAAGTTTATTGTCTTATCAAGACCAGGTGATCCATCAATCCGTCGATCCATAGATCTATCCATAAATACTACAGAACTCTTATTATACACCAGCTACTTTTCCACATGCAGGAGATGAGAGGATTCATGTAATAAAGCCAGCACCGGTAGATCTGACCCAGGATGTTTATACTAAGGAGGCCTTGGTTTGAAAGAACAATATGGGGTAAGGAAGCCTGTATTTTCAAATCCCAATAGAAGATGGGAGAAGAGAGGTATTGGAATTGGAGTCAAATACTGGAGGCCTCACTTAATCTTAATGCTTGGGTGTTGAATGTCATGAAGTTAGAGGGATTTGCTTAGAAACACCTGGATGCTTAGAAACACACACCTGGATGTCATGGGGAGGGGAGCTTAAGGATTTGGGGCTTGTAGACAGGCTCTTCAGGCTCTTCCAGAAATGTCAATAATTAGCCTACCACTCTGTCTGGTTGGTTCTCAGAGAGAGGGGGATGTAGGTAGCTAGAGGATGTGCTCTGGGGCTTCTGGTTCCCAGAGCTCAGTTATGGTCTATAAGAGACATGAAAGTGTGAAGAGAGGGAGAACAGAGGACCACAAAGCTTGGGAGTCAGAGAACAGTGGAGATTTCAAGACTAGAGGGGTGTGGTGCAGGCACATGACATGGCTTGTAGTAACGTGATGTGGGAGTCCCCTCTGTATGCTGTGAATATCATTGGTTAATAAAGGAACTGCTTTGGGCCTATAGCAGAGCTTTAAGGGAACAGATCTAGGTGGGGAAAACTAAACCGAATGCTGGGAGAAAGAAGGCAGAGTCAGAGAGAGGCCATGTAGCCCCACCAGAGACAGATGCTAGAACTTTAGCTGGTAAGCCATAGCCTTGCGGCGATACACAGATTACTAGAAATGGGTTAAACTAAGATATAGGAGTTAGCCAATAAGAAGCTAGAGCTAATGGGCCAAGCAGTGATTTCATCAATACAGTTTCTGAATGGTTATTTCAGGGCTGAGCTGCCAGGCTGCTGGGAAACCAACAGGCGGTTTCCTTTCAACAGTGGGGTATGTCCAAACCAGATAGATCTGCTGTATGCCAGGCCAGCCCATGTATAGGTTTTGTAGAATTAAATGTGCATTCCCATCCTAGATATATAACCAGTCAAGCAGTCAGGGAGCTCGCAGAGTCCACCCGTCGGGTAGCTAGGTAGGCACTGAGCAGCCTGCAGTGTGCAAAATTCTATGGAGGCATCAGGCCTTTGAATCAATATCTAGAGTATAATATGGTAAGTTCTAGGAGAAGGCTGTGGCCGAGCATGCAGGGGTGGAGGATGAAGGGAAGACCATTTCAGTCTCACTGGGAGTGTGCCAAGGGTGCCAAAGATGCTGTAACCTTTGAGTTGATTGACAAGCCTGACGTTTTCAGATAGAGACATAGATGGTGAATTTGGTGAAGGAAAAGTCCCACAAAAGTCTTAGTGTGCAAGAGAGTAGAGAACATTTGGGACCTGCAAGGAGTTGCATGCAGTGGGAAGATGTGCAGCCACAGGCAAGCCACAGGGTGGGTATTCTGGAAGCTTCTGACATCGTCCCACAGCAGTGGCAGAATCTATATTTTGTCTATAATCCTTAAAGTTGTGCCATATGCCAAGTAGTAACAAATGTTCACACATTTATTTGAACTGACTTTATCTTATACAGGAAGTAGACACGTTTGTTCTAACCACTCAGAGCCTACCCAAGAGAACCTAAGTCTCAATCCTTGAGGTGGTTCCCTTGACCAAACTGTGAACCCCCATATCAAAGGGAGCAGTTATACCCCCAGAAGGGCCCAAGCTGATGGGACTTACCTTGGTCATCTGACACTGTAGCTGGGAATGTAGCTAGAGGGGCAAAAGGGAAGGGGAGCAATCTGCATCTCACTCACCTGAACTTGGATTTGGAGATCCGGTGGCTGAAAGAGGAAAAGGAAATATTAGCAAAGACAATGTACTCACTTTCTTCCACATAGAGAGTGTTCAGCCGTCCCCAAAGTATTTGGAGTTCCCCAGGACTATGTGGGGACTGGAAGGGTTTGTGGGGCTAGTGCTAAGGCTGCGGAGAATGAACGCTCTGCTTTTGAACATGGCTGGCCCGGCGGACATCTACAAACCTAGACTCTGTGCATTTGAATGTGGCTGGCCCAGCAGACATCTACAAACCTAGTATCTTCTAAGTGTGGTGACGCTTAGAGGAGAGGGGAGCACACAGTCCTGACAGGATCAGTGTCTGCCCACAATCTCTATGACCTGCTAAGCACAGCACCCCTTGAGGAAAGCCATGGCAGATGGAAAGTTTCTCTTGCAGACAACAGAGAACTCTGGACGCAGAACTCACTGTGGTCCACCAGGATCTTTACCAGAGCTGGATTCGGACACACACGAGGCCATCGAAGACAGCCTGAGGGAAGGTCATTGCTTCCCTAGCTCAGAGCTGCTAGATCTGAACACATAGCCTCAGGTTCTAAAGGGACGTTGTGTGTACTGAAGGCAGGTGCGGCCCTGGAGATCTAAGCATAGGTGGAGTGTCCTGACAACAACTGCCTTGAAGGATCACTGTGTACTGAAAGGTAGCACCCTCAGGGAGGCTGTGGGGCTGTAATGTCCCTCTAGGACAGCTTCCAGGGAAGCTACACAGAGTTAGCAGGAGGAGAGAGGGCAAGAGAGAGGCTTGTTAATGTACAGAAAAGTGAGGGAGAGGGGGAAGAAGAAGGGGGAGAAAGGGAATCGATAGGAAGAGGAGGAAGGAGTATGTAAGCAACCAACACAAAACATTTTGGAAAAAAAAAAACAAATATTTGAAGGTACATTACAGCTTAGCTTTGAGCCTGAGAGAAAGGGGAACACAGACAAAATAGCAGGTTGATTGAGACTACTCAGACAGCCACGGCAAGACTTGTAAAATGGCAACACCAGGGCAGACGGGGGAAATCTCAGAAAGGCCCACCCTGAAATGAAGAACTACAGGCAACCAATGCTGCTAAGAGACGGGGATTCTGTCTTCTCTAGGGATGAGGTCCCTGACAGGTTATCCAATCCCAAGTCAGCTCTAAACACACTGCATATGAGCAATAACTGGATTCTGCGGGTCACATATTTATAAATATATACCAGTAATAATGAAAGAGAAAGAGGCCATAAGATTGAGAGGAATAGGAGGGATATGGAAGGTGCTGAAAGGGGAGAAGAGTGAGGATGATATAAATACAGTACTCATGCAAGAAATTCTCAAACAAAATCAGTTTAAATTTAAAATGCCCACAACCCCTGGCCGTGGACCAGGATCTATCCCTCGTGCATGAGCTGGCTCTGTGGCCCCATTCCCTATAGTGGGATGCCTTGTTCAGCTTTGATGTGGGTGGGGGGAGGAGAGCTTGGTCCTGCCTCAACTTAATGTGCCAGGCTTTGTTGGCTACCCATGGGAGGCCTTCCTTACCCTTTTGGAGGATGCAGGATGGATTGGGGTAGGGAGTGGGGTTGGAGCACGAGGAGGGGAGTGAGGTGGAACTGTGGTGGGTGTGTAAAATGAATAAAAATTTTTAAAACAAAAATAAGTAAGTAAAAATGGCCACAAAGAACAGAGTTCAAATGAGACATGACAATGACCAGAGACTCTTGTAGGGACACTGGAAGGTGACTGCTTGGAGCCATGTTGTCCCAGTCAGCAAAAAGCAAGCTATGTCTCGTAACAAGAAAACATCAACCCTTCTCGTTTTTTTAATTATTAAAAAAAATAAAGCAGAAGATGTGACAGGTGGCAAAGCCATCGTGCATGAGATAATTATGTCTCCAGGGCACTGGGAAGCTGAGCCAAGTGCCTTTATTGCTCTGAACTGTTAGCTAACAACCCCTTTCCACCCCCAAGACTGCCTGCTAGGCTGCAAAGTTTAATCACATGTTAACTGAGCATGTGGGAGGGGGACCTAGAGCCCAGGGCAGCATCTTTTCATCCAGAGTCACCGTTTAATGGGGGATGAAATGTTTGCTAGCTGCTAAATGGAGACAGGGAGGCAGGCTACTCTCTGCAGCAAGGATGCGCTGAGCTCGGGGATCTTAAAGACTGCGGTATTGGTTCCAGGCTTTCTTGCAGAGGGTCTCAGTGGTTCCTGGCTCAGCTCAGACCCTTTGCTTCCTGCACGCCTCACTCTCAGTTCAATTAAAGTCACAAGCAAAGGTGAGACCGTAGAAACTCCCTGTCAAGGAACTTCGGAGTTCTCGTAAGAAAATGAATCTGTGATATGGGATAAAGGGAGATCAGAGCTGAGTGAGAATTTATCCTCGTTCATGTGTGGCCACTGTTTGGTGTCCTTGTACTCTCTGGTCCAAAGGAAATGGTCCATGAGCCTCCTGCTTATCTGGCTCTGAGTCTTGATGTCTAACCCTGTGCATGAAGAAGGCTTCTTCTGGCTTGCAGGAGCCTGTGAGCATGACTTTGTCTTCTCTGTATCCAATATATCCCTTTGTTTTAATAGAAGCGTATTTCCTGACCCTCAGCAGCATATAGGAAAGGAGTACTAGCACTCAAGTGGGTCCTCGAAGAGCTGGGCTTAGAACTTCTAATAAGATTAAAGACTGTGATTCCTCAGCACTGCCTGAATATAGGAGCAGTTAGCTACAGGACTTCACAAAATAGAAGGACACTACTGCCTACGGCCCACTGTCTCCTGGCGGTAGTGATAGACTCCATCTCTGGACAGCTGTTCTCGTTGTAGAGAGAGGAGCCAAAGAGCAGTGAGCATCTTAGCATGTTTGCCTCCTAATGATGTTTGATATCCGTGCAGACTGCAGAGTCCTGGGAACAGCAGAAGCCTCCAGTGTACCCAACACCCAATGGGCATGAGCAGCTGGCTCGGGAGTTTCTGGATTTTTCTATCATTCATATACAAGTGCAACACCATCCCTACTTCATGTCTCTGGTGGATTTGTTAAAGGCAAGGAAGGGGAGGAGGTTAATAACTAGTTGTCACACAAGACCTCCAGAATACACCCCTGGGCGGGGACTGAAGTCTGTTTATCCGCACGTGCTCACCCGAACCTCCAAGACCAACCTGGAAGACCAAGATTTTCCTCCCTGGTTTTAGCATTCAAAATTTGAGAAAACTCCCAAGCTATTTTCCCTCTTAGTTACCTGCTTTGTATTGATCATTATCTGACAAATATCTGAACTCCTTGAGAGCTGTTCACGCTTTTGGCTTCTCCTTCCTTCTTTGGGCGGTAAGTACTGCACACTTACTACCTGCTGTGGAAGAGTGTTTTCCTAAATTGCTCTCATTTTGCCTTCAGCACGCGCTGAAGGACAGCTGACTCAGTTTCTCTGATCCCACAACTTGATCACGACCCCAGTTGTTATGGCGACAGGGGACATATCCTGGGGTTTGCTGAAGTTGAACATCACTCCAGTTATCGGGTGCTAAACCCAGTTGCTCCCCATTTCTAGCCTGAACCTCCTTCCTGGAACCTGGGTTTTGCCTGTAGGGGATCTTCTTGACCACTCTGCTTCTTCCAAGGCTCCCAGGCAAACAATAGACTTGACTTCTAGTTCAGCTTGGCCTTCAGTGATGTTCATGTGACCCTTGACATAAGGCAGATGACCCATCTGGCCTTTATCTGGGTCACTGTGGCTAATCCCCACCTATATTCACATAATTTTTAGTGATTCACATATATATTTTTTTTAGTGCTTTTAGGCTATAAAAAGTACCAAGAACACATTTCAAAGATGCCAAGTTTACATCAACAGTGTCGGTCTCCAGGATGGCCAGAGCTGCACACCTAGTGGTCCCTTGGTGGTCCTCCCATTTGTATCTTCCAGGTTATCCTTCAAGTTTCTACATACCCACCCTGCTAAAGACGATGGATCTTAGAATGGTTCCTGTCACTGACCAGTGTGCTCCTGACTCCACATTCTTTACAGAGCCACAGCCCTCAGAGCTAGAAGGAGCCCTCCATGTCACACGAGTCTCTGCCACGTGATTTCTCAAGCTGTAGGGTGCCTTAGTCATTTGTGATTGCACATGGAGCCAGACATGCCCAAGAGAAGGAGGTGGTGCCCCTTTAAGTAGCCCTAGAAGGCAGTGTCCAGCCTTGCCTTCTGCTGCAATCCTTGGTCCATCCTGTCCCTTTCTTGGGAGACAGGAGCTTAGAGAGAGTGCTTGCGTGAGGTCTGATGCGGGCTCCCTTTCATTTTCCAAGGCAGAGGAAATCAACTCCCTGTGTTCAATTCCTCTGCAGTTTCTTTAGCCTCTTGATTTTCCCTGGCTTCTCAGCACCTTGAAGATCCCCCTGATGGCAGTGAATGCCATCCCTTTATTCCCGTGGCACCTTCTCCTTTCCCTATCCCATTTCTCTCTCCCTTTGTATGGCCTCAGTGTTTTGGTGGGTGCCCTGCACTGACACATTTCCACCATCCCCTCACAGAGAGTGTCTCCCAGAGTCAGTATACCCCTAGGCCCCATAGAGTAGAGAGCTCCAGGACACACTGACAATTGGTGCATTCTTTCTGTTCCCCATTTCAATTCTACCTGAGGTTGCCAATACCCCATACACGAGCAGCCATAGGGGCTGCTTCATCTGCCACCCACGCGACATCTTTAGCCCAGCCTTCTCCTTACATGCAAGTCCTCATCCTGACCTCAAGACTTTTAACTCAGAGGATATAAAGCAATGATCTCTCACTCTGCCCTCAGCCTGCTTCTCTTCTCAGGCCGCCTCACTGATGGGAACAGTGGCTATCTTAGCTCAACGCTGTCTTGCTGGTGATGGGGAAAGACAGCAGACGATGAAGTGCATGTTATAATTCTGGCACCACAATCGTATCTCTTGTATACAGTGTAGTTGTGTATCAACCCGGGTACGTGTAGGAATAAGATCAGCCTCGAAGCAGAGCACATCTTCCTAGGAGGTGACCGACAGGCCAGCGACACCAGTTTCCCTCCACAGGGGACAATCGTGTTTGCTGTCCATCCAGCATCATGGACTCTGAGGATGTGCTGTTCAGTGAGTTCCTGGTACCAGCTCCCTAGCCCCTCCTGGTTTATACCTTGGGCTATGCTGCCCCAAAGCCAGCGCTGTAATAACCTTGATGGTCTTTTCTCCAAACTCCCCATCCTTGATGTCAAGCAAGCCGAAGGACCTAGAACTTATGGGCTAGAAGGGCCCCGTATGCCTGCCCCTATCATTGCTATCTGGGGCCACTTCTAGAAACTCGAGTGCTATTTTGTAGAATTCCAAAAGAGAAAAGAAGAGAAAGGGCCAGGAGTACTGCTTACAGATGTAATTAGCACCATATTTTAACAACACTTTGACAATAATTGCTTCGCGACAGCGCTGAGAAGTCTGCAGTGCAGACTCCCTGGTGCCACTGTCACAGTGAGTGATGCCACAGCCCCGCGTACCCTGGAACCGGGCTGCACTGCTCCTCAGTCTTGCTCACCTCCCTCTTCTGGCTCACTCCCAGGCACACTCAGATTCGCCTGCAGCTACTGTCGTGAGGAGGCTGGACCGGCCTGGCAGTGAGTCACGCTACACGGGAAGGTGCTGTTCTACCGGGGAGCATTTGGAGACACATTCTACTTGGGCTAATCCTGCCCAAGGCTTTCTCTCTGCAGTTCCTTCAATGGTCAAGACAAGGTTACAGCTGTCATGCTCCTGGCCAAAGGAAAAGCAGTCATGGCCTCCTAAAGTGAAGCCTGGGCGTGGCGACCTAGTGCATATTCTACCTAGTGGCATACCCCTTTGTCCCCAGGCTCTGCTTTTGTGACACTAGCAATCAACCCGGTTTTGCTATTTTTAGTAATGAAACCATTTCCCCCTCCATTTAGGCAGTGAGGGTCATGGATGTGGATGACCTGACTCTGTGTTCCAGATCGTGACATCCACACGTAAGTGTTCCCATGGGCAACAGCGCTCATATCTGGCTAAGTCACAGGTTCCTGGCAGCCAGGGGTTGGGAGGAAGGCTCGGATGCTCAGTATTGCTACATCCTAGGCTGAGGACACTCCAGGCGGTACACCAGGCACTGGGTCTCCTTCATTAGGAGGGCTGCTCAGAGCTGCACAGGATGAGGATCATCCCCGGGCAGTGGACTTCTTAGCTGGTGATTTACTTTGAGGCCATGTTTGTCAGAATAGGAAGGATGACCATGCAGCTACAAGGACCTGATCTATTGGCTCTTATGAAAAAAATATAAATGAAAGGGAATAAAGAAAAAAAGAGACATCAGAGCACCCTCCTTTTGTACTTCTCTGGAGGTCTGAAAGTCTCCAGCATCCAAGTTTGGTGGCCCTCACAGAAGTGAGGGCTTCAATGTGAAGAGCCCACTACCATATACTAGGCCATGCTTCACCCCAGGCCTCTTCTCTCTCCACACAGGGCACAGGTTGTCAACCATGGTTCTGATTCTGCCCCTGCAGTGAGGAGCCACCCCACTGGACTCCACGAGCCAGCTTCCCAGGCCATGTCTTAGGAAGAACTCAGCGCTAAGTTTGCTATGGGTACTTACGCAAGCCTGGCTCCACAGTTTTCGCCCTCGATGTCACCTCCAGCCACATTTTCAGTGTTGACAGACTCAGTCTCACTTGTGGGCATGCTCACTGTGATTGAACGGAGGCACGGAAGGCATTAAGGGTAGGGAGAGAGAAAGAGGAGAAGAGTATTAGTGTATATCATACCATCCTAACCCGGGGCTGGCCGGGCACCACCTGGGGGCCTGTCTGTGGGGGCCTGGCCCTGGCACTGTCCTCATCTGGCTGGGCAAGACAGCTGCCAGGACTCTGCAGATGAGTGGGAATGTGGGGGGACTCTGGTGATCAGACCCTTTACTTCACAGGATGCATTCAGGAAAGAAAGATGGTGCCATCCTTCATCTGCCCTCGACTTCGTAGTCCCAGAAAGGCAGGAAACTTTTCCATTTACATCGTCAACTTAGCACAGGGAGAGAAGCCCTCAAAGCAAGACTCCACTGCCCTCTTTCTTTCCCCTACCAGCTCCAACCTAAGACTGGAGTCTAGCTTGTTTGCAGGAAGGGCACTTTTGCTACCCAAACTAATTTTTTTTGATGGATTTGAGGACATTATTTTTCCGCAGTGTACTATGTCATAAAGCAGTGACACTTAAGACTGACCTGAGGTGCTGGGCTTGAGGTAACCAGCCACTGTCAAACTCATGGGTTTAGCCTCACACAACAGGGCAGACACAAGGAATGTAGGTGTCTAGTTGCAGGATCCACAAAATTAGGCTTAAATATGGGCCAAAGAGAGGCTGCAGGGATACTCTCTCTCTTCCCAGAAGCCCTGGTACTCCCATCTAAACAGAGATACTAGTGACCTGATTCTCCTGGAGCTGATCTGCCCAAGCAATGTCCAGCATCTTACACCATGGCAGCAGCAGGCTAGATTTCCAAAGGGGAGTTTTCTAGCATAGACTCAGCATGGTGGCTTAGAAGAGATAAATTCTTCCAGTATCATTTATTCTATGAAATTAAAAGTTTAGCTCAAAGAGTTCTTCAGACTTGCCATCATCCCTTTAATATAATATGAATCCATATATGTGTAGGTGTGTGTGTGTATTTACTTTTTTTTTTAAAAAAATATATGGTCATGATATATTCCCAGCTGTCCTCAAACTTGCAGTCCCTCTGCCTCACTCGCCTGAGTGCTGGTATTAGTGATGTGTACCACAACTCCCAGGGAGTTCCTTGATTTTATCACTCCTTCTTTGGAGCAATGTGGACCAGCACTCCCTCCAGAATAAACCTCACCCGGTAAGAAATCACCAGCCCTTGGCAGCCACAGTGTCTACGGCTAGTCAGAATGTGGGCTAGTGACAAGTTCCCATGGGCCACCATCCCTAGGTCACACGGTGATGTGGATGGAGGTGCGCTTTCCCCAGTTCCTTTTCTTCTGGTTTAAGGCAAGTCAGGTGGATGAAAAGAATTTCACTTCAAAAATATGGAAGACATAAACAGGAAACCCATGAGTTACTATGTTCTGACTGTCACATGGAGTAGTTCTCTCGGACTTAGGAGTCTGCCTCGAAAATGTTGAGGAAAAAGATATTAAGGGCTGGAGGGAACTACAGAAATTACCCGACTCTATGTTACAGGAGAGGGAAGTGAGGCCAGAGAATGGGTATGACGGTCAAGGTCACATGGCACACTTAGAAAGGGCGAGTGATTGGGCACTGTCCCTGCCCCATGCTCACCTTGACTGCTCCAGTGTAGACCAAGTCTCTTCTCTACATCTAGGGTAAGTCAATGATAGGGAAGCCAAGCCAGGCTCTGGGCACACCACTGGATGGCACAGACTAGCCCAGCAATGTTGTTCAGTTTTATAGCAATGACATTGACACCCAGCCTAAGGCCTTTGGATGGGACTGGTCATTTGAGGTGGCTTAGCACCGGGGACTGGGAATAGGAGCCCTCAGAGGTGTCCATGGGTGTAGATGACCCATGTTAAACCCATGTTAAACCCATGTTAAACCCACGTTAAACCCATGTTAAACCCATGAGAAGCTGTAACAGTGAGAAGTACTTCGCCTTTCAGTTCACTTATCTTTAGTCACCCAGGACTCCGGGTGTCATTCTTGGGAGGTCTGAGCGCTATGTAGAAGCCACTTGACTCTGTGATACTTGGTTGCCAGAGAACCCCTTGTACGTGAGTAGGCTGGTGTGGAAGTAGTAGTTCTAGGCTCAGGAAGCCACCAAAACTAGGTAGAAGCAGTCTGAGTCTTAGGAGTAAGCATATCCTCTAAAGTCAAGGTACTTCCAGTACCGGGGCTCATTCTGTATTTACAGTGACTGGTTCTGGCTGTCACTATCTAAAGGAATGACTCCATCTTCTATCAGGGAACAGTTGGTGCTGGTTGTCAAGCTTGCTGACTCGATCCAGTGGAGGAGATGAGGGTCAGTGGTCCTCCCCTCATAAATACACACACATACAAACATAAAGCCACAGAAGAGCACACGTGTTTGTGCACCCCCCTCCCCCACAAACACCAGACATCAAGAGCAGCATTCTCCCGTGCAATCTGTATGGACCAATACACATTTACACACAGAGAGCATAGGAGACATTACCATGGGTCTCTGTAGAGTGACTAAACCAAGCAAACTTCCCTTTCTTCTGATCAAGCAAGCCCGCCGCGGCACCTCCTGTCACAGACACGACGGCCAGTGTCAAGATCAGGGACAAGACATCAACAGAGAACATGCGATCAGCACAGGCATAAGAAACAACCCAGCTCTTACATGGAACACTGCTATCTCCAAAAATTGACAAAACCCATGGAAAACATAAACCAAGACATGTAAAAAAAAACATAACAAAATCTGGTCAAACTCCTTAAGTCACATGAATTATCAACATAAAACAAATGATGGACCCTTAGTAAAGCAAATGGCGGATGCTAGAAGAGGCTCCCAACCACACTGGCACATGTAACTGGGACTTCCTAACATCTGTGTCCGCTAACTGGAAGGCATCCCCTTTACAGATTTAAGTAGGTAACTGCTGAGATCAAGCTAGTGCCTGAATTTGCCCTGTCCCACTGGCTAGGTGGCTCAAGCTCCCCCCTCACAGGGACTGTAAATGCCAGCTTCCGTGGGCTCCAGTGCTTCCTTCCCACTTGCCCCCCGATGATGTCACTTGTCTATTGATCTACTTGTCCCCTTATCTGGTTCAATAATTGCCTTTCATTCAGTAAGAGGCTCCCCAATGCCTCAGTCTTGGTTACAACCAGAGTACATATGCATCTGCTTTGCTTCGAATTTCACACTTGAATGTTTGCTTTGTCGAGTTTTGCATATACTATGCATGTAATTCATATACAGCCCTTTTCACATTCCATTTCCTTTTGAAGAGGAATAACCTGAGAGTCTTGGGAAGCTGTCTTGGGGATCCACTTTTCATCAGAGTTCAGTTTCCTGTGCACAGAAAGCCTCATGCTCTGTTCTGCTCGTGTCTGGGCTTAACCGAAGAGGAAGGAGCTAAAGGACAAGGCAGTCTGGGCTACACAGTGGCCTGAAGTCCCAGGAGCCGACACTCTTGCTAACTCCCCAGCAAGGGTGTTTATTCTGATAACACTCATACTTGTATGCGTCTGTGAACCACAGAGCCGCTGTGGGAAACAAGCCAAGGGCACGGATTGACCACGGCTTATTGATGAGGACAGCAGTGACGGGGGTAGGAAGTTACCAGAGAGCCCTACAAGAAAGTGTGTGTGGAAGAGGACAGGCAAGTGGCCCATGTGCTCCAGGGAAGGCAGTGAAGGGAACTCATTCTAGTCTCTCACAACTTAGATGATAGCCAATGGGCTTTCTTGTTAGTGGGGACTCAGAAATCTGGCTCCTCTCAGAAATGGGTCAAACTTATTGTCATCCTATAGGAAGGTCCATGTCTCTCCAGTGTACAAAACACAGGGTAGGATAACAGCAACTCTCAAATCAGCTCCGGGGTTTCTCTTTATTCTAAAACATCCAATCTGAATCAAACACAGAAATGATTTAAGTCCCATGTCCCCTCTAGAGAGGCGCATTTTAGAACAAGAACTAAGGCAAGAATGAGAGTCCCACGAGGACCAGGCTTCCTGTGGGGGTGTGGAATGGAAGCAGAAGGCTGCTTGTTGCCATGTACCCGTGGCTGGTTGGAGGACACAAGGATGCTGGTCAGTGGCTCAAGGCTCAGAGCTGTCAGACAGCAGCACTGTCCAGCATTTGGCTTGACAAAAAGTGTGTCACAGCCAGTTCAGTTTTGGAAACAACTGTGGGGTAACTTTAAACGCCATATGAGGAACCTGATAAATATATGGGTGTTCAGACATAACCACACGTGGTCAGGATACTCATGGTGGGATTTGACAGAAGCTCCGGCTCAGTTCCCTACGTGGCCTGCATGGTCTCCACTCAATCTGCTCTGCGGGTCAAGTCACCTCTAAAGGTCCCTGGCTGACATGAACGTCTCCCACCAGAACGGCACATTTATGACAGCTTATTCCATAAGCACCCGAGAGAATAAAACAGCTGAAAATGAAGTCTGTGCTCCTGTCAGGAAAGGATCACGCAGCAGTCTGGCAGCTGCTGTTTAAGGCAGACTTCTGGGGAACTGTGTGCCCAGAGTCTTTAAGTCTAGAATCATAAATGTGAGACACTTATCCCACAGGTGAGCCAGAAAGCTTGACCACCTGTGTTTACTTAGCTACGGTGGTTGGCCAAAAGAAGGGAAGGAACTCGGAGTCAGAGGACACCCCATTTCAATGTGATTATGTGATTGCCTGCGTCTCTCCAGACATGTTGTGAGGGCGCACCCTTTGTATAAACACAGTGTGTGTGTCTGTATATGTGTGTCTGTGTGTCTTTGCGTTTCTCTGTGTGTGTCTGTGTGGTGTATAATGTGTGTACCTGTTCATGTGTATGCTGTGATAGCGTGTGTGTGGATGGAGGTCAGAGGTCAATCTCAAGCGTCTGTTGGGAACTGGAGTTTGCCAATTTGGCTGGGATGGCCGGTGAGCAGGCCCTAGGTGTCCACTTGTCTCTGCCTCCCCAGCATGGGGACTAAAGCGCTCATCACCAGGCCCAGCTTTGGTGACATGCTGAGGT